GATTATTAGTATTTAATTATACTTTTTACTATAATTTAAACTCAACTAAATTTTTATCTAAAAAAAAAAAAAATAATTAATATTTTAAATAGTAAGTTATTTATTAATATTTTAATATTTAATATTCTTAATTATAATTTAAACTTAACTAACCTTTTTATTTTAATAAATAATTGATATTTAGATTGTAAATTATTTTATTGATTATTATTATTTAATTATACATTTTACTTTAATTTAAATTCAACTAAATTTTTTATTTTAAATATTACTAAAGGGGTTAAACTATTTTATTGATTATTAATATTTAATTATACTTTTTTAAAATAAAAATCATATATAAAAATGTTATTATATTTATTGAATTATTGAATTTAGTAAGTATTATATTTAAAATAATAATTTTTTATCATAATATTAATAATATAATATAATTATTTAGAAAAATAGGAATGTGTTCAAATTGTAATAAAAAGAATACTGAATATAAATAATGTAAAGAATGTAATTCTAAATTATTTTAACAAAATTTTTCTAATTGGACTAGTAAAAATAAATTTATTGACAAATTTATTCAAGATATTCAAGTAAATACTAAAAATAAAAAACAAATATTAGAATGATAAATTTATTAATATTGAGTTTCTTGATAAAGGAGAATTTATTATTATATATAAAGCTATTTGGTTAAATAGATTTATTAAATCTTATTCATATAATAATAATAATTGGATTAGAAGTAATAAAATAGAAGTATCTCTTAAAAGTCTTAATAAATCATCAAATTTAAATGAAGAATTTTTAAATGAAGTATGAAATTAATGATTCTTTTAATTTTAAATAATAATATTTTAAATTAATTTTTAGAATTTTAGTGAAAATATCATTATAAATGTTATAGCAATTAAATAGATATTCAAATAATAATCTTATTCAATTTTATTGATTTACTCAAGATCCAAATACATTAAATTATATGGTAGTAATAAAATATGCGAAAATAGTAATTTAAGAAAAAATTTATTAAAAATAGTTAAAGATAAATGGTTTTTAAATTAAAAATATTACTTAATATTATTACTGGACTTGATGAAATTCATCAAAAAAATTTGATTCATTATGATTTTCATCATGGTAATATTTTAAATATAAGAGGTAAAATTTTATCTATCAGTGATTTAGGATTATACAAACCTGTAGAATATTTTCAATCATCTCATAAAAAAAATAAAATTTATGGTGTTTTACCATTTGTAACACCTGAAGTTTTAAGAGGTCAATCTTATATTTTAGCTAGTGATATATATAGTTTTTCTATAATTATGTGGGAATTAATATCTGAAATTATTCCATTTAATAATGAAGCTTATGATTTTCAATTAGCTTTAAGTATTTATCAAGATAAACGTCCTCAAATTATTAATAAAACACCACAATATTATATAAATTTAATGAAAAAATGTTGGGATATAAATCCATTAAAAAGATCATCTACATTAAAAATTAAAAATACAATTTATAATTGGTATAAAAATTTTATAATTAAAGATTTTGATAAAAATTTAATAAGTGATATTATAGAATTTTATCAAGCAAATAACATATCAAATCAAAAGCAAAGTAATAATATTAATAATATTATTATTGTTGAATCTCATCCACAAGCATATCATACAAGTCATTTAATTTTTTTTACTGAAAGATTAAATAAGATTTTAAATCAAAATGATAAAA